ATTAAGAACACCATTTTCATGGCCTCAATTTCAGTTAAAGCATTCTCTAATTCGTGTCCTATACCACAGATCAGATTCCTTGAACCTTCAGCAGGGTCTGTAAATGTAAACACAAAAAAACAAATATTTATTGCAAAAAAACCTGATGACTGGCAGCAATAGAAGAGCGGGCCCCAATCCACTACATATTAATGTGATCAACCCACACTAGCCCTTTCCTCTTAAGAACAGAGACCCTGACTTAGTGTAAATTAATTGATATGAATAACCCAAGTTTCTTGAAAGAGTATGACCCAGTATCATGTAATAAAAGCTTTTATATTATAAAAGCTTATATATTTTATATTGGGGATAGCCTAGGCTAGCCCGATCTCATTAAATCTCAGCAGCTAAGCAAGGTCAGCCCTGGTTAAGTATTTGGATGGGAGACCACCAAGGAAGTCCAGGGTGGCTATGCAGAGGCAGGCAATGGCAAACCTGCCATAATCTGGGAGAACCGGGTTTGATTCCCCACTCCTCCACTTGCAGCTGCTGGATGAGCTTGGGCAAGCCATAGTTCTGATAAAAGCTGCTCTTGAAAAAGAGCAGTTCTCGAAAGAGCTCTCTCAGCCCCACCTACCTCGCAGGGTGTCTGTTGTGTGGGGGGGAGGAAAAGGAGTTTGTAAGCCACTCTGCAAGTGAAGGGCGGGGTATAAATCCAATCTCTCCTCCTCCTACTACTCCTACTCCTCCTACTCCTACTCCTCTTCCAAAAACAGCAAGTTAAATGAATGACTTTTCCTCAAGTGCAACTCACTGGTAGATTAAAGACTAGCAAAATTTGTGGCAGGGTATAAGCTTTCATGAGTCACTGCTCACTTCTTCAGATACAGCTAGAATGTAAGTCCATCTGTCCTATATATTGGAAAGTGATTTCAGATGTCGAATGACATTAGTAGTGGATGACAATAGCAGGTGTGAATGGACATAAGTCTAACATTAGAAACCACAACATTAAAAAACCAGTGGGGGGACATTGTAACCTTCCAGGACATTCAGTTGCTGACCTAAAAGTAGCAGTTCTCTTACAAGGGAATTTCAAAGGGAGATTAGAAAGAGAGACTGCTGAATTGCAACTGATAATGAAGCTCAAGACAATGCATCCGCCTGGACTGAATCGAGACCTGGGTTTCCTGTCTCATTACCAATGCTGATTTCTCCATGGCTATTACTCCTCTGCATATCACACCTAATCCATTCATGCCTGCTATTGACATACACCTGCTAATGTCATTCGGCATCTGAAATCTCTCCACGTTCCAATATTTATTTATTTATTTAATTTTATTTGTACCCCGCCCTCCCCGCACGCGGGCTCAGATGGACTCGCATTCTAGCTGCATCTGTGGAAGTGAGCAGTGACTCACGAAAGCTCATCCTCTGCCACAAATTTTGTTAGTCTTCAAGGTAATACTGGTCTCTTGCTCTTTTCTGTTGCTACAGACAGTCTTAACACAGCTATTTCACTGGTACATTGTTGAGCTGCATAGCAGTTACCGGCCTCGTGTGCCCCCCCCCATCCAAATGTTGCTACTCCCTTTGGCCCCTTTCTTCAAGGCAACAACTCCCGGGGGTAAAAGGCCTTCATGAGCAAGGGGGTAGCACAGCTGAGGTAACGAACTAAGCCTTTTGGTAACAAATATATGTTGTCTTTCTCCTCTGACTCTGGATAGCCAGAAGCCTTTTTTTACCGCTGTTTTAATGTGTTGCTTAAGAGTTATCCCTTTCAGTCGCGAGGCTCAAGGGGATTTCACAATGTAAAACAAACACAGAGTGACCCAAAAGGAAGGGGGAAATGTGAAAAAAAAAAACACCTGGTCCAGGTTCACATGAGAATTAGTCCCCCAGAACTACCTACGTAGTTTGTTCTCTGTTGAGCTAACATGTGAGTCTGCTAGAACCTGATAAGAGGCTGTGTGTTTCCACATAAGATATTGGCAAGCGAAGGGGGGGGGAACCTGTCTATCCTCGTGTGGAGAAGTAATAAAAGGATGGTGTAGTATTCACACCAACTTTAAAGTAAGTGGCATTGGCGGTTATATGCAGAAGCTAAACTTGGCGCACAAAAGGTTTCCCTTTGGGTATAAGTATTTTAGAAAAAGTGCTTAGTTCTCATAGCTCTTTCTTACACACCCAGGGAAATGCAGTTCGCCACTTCGGGGTCAGGCAGCAATTTTTCTCCAGGCCAGTGATCTTGGAGGGTTTTTTTTGCCATCTTCTGGGCATGGAGCAGAGGTCATTGGGGGTGTGTTGCAGGGGGGGGGGAGTATTTGTGAATTTCCTGCATTGTGCAGGGGGTTGGACTAGGTGACCCTGGGGGTTCCTTCCAACTCTATGATTCTAAGAGTTGGTTTTTATACCCCGGTTTTCTCTACCTTAAGGATTCTCAAAGCAGCTTACAATCACTTTCCCTTCCTCTCCCCACAACAGACACCTTGTGAGGCAGGCAGGGCTGAGAGAGTCCTGAGAGAACTGTGACTGGCCCAAGGTCACCCAGCAGGCTTCATGTGTAAGAAGGGACAATGAAGCCTGGTGCTCCAGATTAGCGTCTGCCACTCTTAACCACTACACCACACTGGCTCACATTTGCTACTTTACGGCTGAGATGTTTCTTCCTTTCATACTCGTCTGCATCTCGTGGCATAGATGAGCCCACTCCATCCTGTGCCAGAGAAGGAAAGAAGCAGTCCTTAGTAAGGACCCAGTTATCGGGCCACAGGACTGAGGAGGACTTGCTGCTTTGTGTGCTGGCCCTGCCCTTCCCTGCAGCTTGATCGCCCAGTCTTTAGACTGCATTCACACCACTTGCGAAAAGCATCTGTAGATAAGTGCCTCTTGTCCTAATCATCACGTGCCACCAGAGAAGGAGTAAAATGTGCCTGTCTAGCATGTGTGGCTCTGGGAGTTCTGCTGTCTAGCACAACGGCAGAAGGATCTGCAGGCTGCCTCCAGGGCGGCAGTCACTCTATGCAATTAATAGTGCCAAGACAAACTCTTATGGCATGTGAATGCATTAAGCGGCCTTGTTCTGAGTTAGATCATTGGCCTGTCAAGATCCGTCATGTTCAGCTATATGTTCGGGGTTTCGGGTACAGTTCTGTGACATCACTTAACAACCTGACCCTTTTTGTAAAAAACTGGACATGGAAGGGGAAAGACTGGAACTTTCTCTCTGCTTGACTTTTTTCTTTCCTAGGGCTGAGAATGTAGGGTGGGGGAAAGTCAGTTTTGCAAAAGCATGCAGGGGGGAGAAGGGTTCAACCCCGAGTTGGGAACCCTGGGCACCTGTTCACCCCAGCCTGATTCAATCTAGGAAAACAGAATCAGGGATCTCCTAGTATCTCACCTTTCTAGGCCCTTCCTCTTGTCTCTTTACCGTTTTCCTCTTTGTATGGCAGATCTACTTGCTGCTGTTGTGTTTGAGAGGACCTTGAACGCAGATTACAAAGTGGCTTGGGAGAGAAATGGAATCGGGGCCGTACGTTTGGTTGTGTTTGGTTGTTTGTGCCTTCCGGGAGCTGTCAGAATGGAATGAGATGGGCCTTCAACTGGTGATGTGTGTTCAGAACATTCACTTGCCCAACAGTCTTTTAGGATCTGCAGGCTGCCTCCAGGGCGGCAGGCACTCTAGGCAATTAATAGTGCAGAGACAAACTCTTATGGTATGTGAATGCATTGAGTGGCCTTGTTCTGAGTTCAGTTAAGGATAACACCGAAATGTTGGGTTGGGTTCTGTGCAGTCCCAGCAGAAAGCATGGGTGTGTGCCCGATCTTTTCCATCTTCACTCTCTGCGCCCAGATACCATCTATGAGCACAACAAGACTTTGCTAGCAGCTTGGGGGGGACCTTTGTGAATAATACGGCACACGAGGAGGAGGAAATGGTCACAATTGCCCCTCCAGCTTCTTGTCAGCAGCATTTCTGCTGTTGGCGGAAGGCACCGTTGACTAGTGGAAAGACGGCCTAGGATTCAGCTGATTTGTTCTTAACTCTTCTAGCCCGTCGGAGTCAACTTAATTAGCATCTTCTCGAGTCCCAATGACCAGAGCCTGTGGGCGATTGACAGCAGGTGGAACGTTCACGTCCGCACTGGGATTACGGAGGAGATGCCCGTGGGAATTGATTGGGAGCACATTCCAGGTAGGGATGCTTACTTGGTGTCCTTGGTTGCTGTCAAAGTGCCATCCTGTGCTTGATCTGTAGTAGCTGGCGAGTTCTTTGTCACTGTTTAAATGTACATCTTTCTCCTGCGTGGAAGTGGCCTTTGCGAAGTAATGGAAGAAATGGGGATAGTTGGGCTCTCTTCCTGACCATTTGGGCTCCCAGGCTTGACCACTCCTTGAGGTCATGAGACGGGTTACTGCTCACCAACTTATTGGGTCTCTTCCTTCCCCGCGGCCACCGCAATCCTTTGCCTTCTGGATTTTTCTTAAGGTTGATTGGAGTTACAAAAGCGGTACTTCCTTACCAAGAGAGGCCGTGAGAATCCTAGCATTGTCTGTAGAACAGCTGAAGCACTCAGAGTGGTGCATCCGAAAACATCTGTGATGTGTGTAGAAAAGCTTGCAAGGAATAGAATCCTAATGCAATCAACTGTGCAGCTACTTAGAAGAAAATCCCACTTTATTCAGTGGGGTTTGCTCCCAGATAACTGTGCATAGGATTACAGTTTAAACATGCCATTTCAAAGTGCTGGTTCTTGTTTTTTCTTTTTTTTTCCATCCCCCTGGTGGGAGGTTTTTATTGATTTTTTTTGCAGACAACAAAA